AAAAAAGTAGATCAGAGATATATTTATAGTAATTATGCAGGCAAATTTGCCTGCAAATCTCTACCAATTAAGGGATATGTTTTTGGTACGAAATAAAAAATCAAAGCATAAATTTTAATGCTTATTAGAAATAAAAGTGAGATTTCTTATTTACTATTCGAAGTATTTCTAATAATGATCTCTATGTTATATGCAATTTACTTATTTGCACTGGTAATACAAACCAAAAAGAAAATCGCATTTGTAAATAAACTAAGAAAGTTTAGAATTAGGACATTAGGGTTAGCATTAGGGTTAGTGCTAGAGTTGTGAGCTTTTAGTAATAATTTGAGTTTTTATATATAAAATTTCATTCTCATTATTTTTTATTAGTCTATAAAGGTCAATTTAAACACTAGTTTTTGAGTATTTTCTTTTTTTCAGTGTTTTTCTTCACTTTGCTCATGTGTTGGGCTGATCTGAGATCATTATATTTTATGTTTTCCGATTGGCTATTTCCTTTTTAGAGGTTTGTATTACCGGCACAAATAAGTGGATACATGTTATATATTACACAAAATCGATCTATTATTAAAATTGATCGATAGAACATGTTCTGTAACTATTAAATATACATATAGAATAACTTTCTCGTGATTGGTCGATCATATAAAATTGAATAACACTTTATGATTGGTGAATTATTAGATTATTTTTTTTATTAATTATCAAATTTTTATTTAAAAAAAAAGTTATTTTTATTAAAATTATTGAATTTAAACCCAGAAGCATTATATACAAAAGACCACAAAATAAGATAAATGTGAGAAGGTAAATTAGTTGAAAAGCCTATTTGCTCTTTCATTAAAATGATAGGGAGAGTGTTATTGAAAGCAGAGTGGACTTTCTTACACAATATGCATGATGAAACCTATCAAGAAAGAAAAAGGACTCAATCCTGGTCTATGCTGCGTAACATAATAAGGGGTGAAACCAAACAATGAAACTATACTTTTAAATCAAATGTATTACAGCTCTTCAAAACAAAGTGTATAAACAATATGCTCTCGGTATTCAAAAAACTCAATTGGAGAAGGCCAGAAACATACAGGACAGATAAATGTGTTATATATAAAAAAAAGAAGAAGAAATGTAGAACACTTGGTAAGCTATGAAACTTCCATGAACCTACTCCGTAACCTAGAGAAGCAAGTAGTAAAAGCAACATTACTTGAATTAAAAAAGGTAGAAAGCATGGAGACAACCAAAGAAGAAGTCTTAACAATGCTAAAAAAAGGATCCCAAGCTAAAGAATTATGTAGAAAAGAAAGATGGATCAGAGGCCTAATTACAAAAGAAGACTTCAATGAGTTGAGACCTCTTTTTAACTCAAACAGCCAAGCAAAGAACTTTCTAGACAGACTTTGGAAGAATTAGATAAAAGAGGTTCATGAGAGAATCTGGGTCACAAAATGTAAACTAGTACAGGAATAGGAGAAGGAAAATGAGATTATGCCAAAAGATAAAAGAAGATCGTATGAAAAGACAAGAAGGAAAAAAAAGAAGAAGAAACCACCTGATAAACATATTAAAGAAAAGGAAAAAGATAAAGATGTAGATGAGGATAAAAGATGAGATTCAATTTTAAAAATAACTAAAAAGGAGGTTTTAAGGTGGATTGAAGAAGGGCAATGAGCAGATTTGTAGAAAAATAATATATAGTCTTGACAGGCAGTAAGATCCAGCTAGTGACATATTATCGAAGCCAATTGCAGGATAAAATAATACAAAGGTGAATCTTATTATAGCAGGTTGTACATAGATACTCAGTAAGCAATCGGGTGAGTCTCTACTTGTAATTTAGGTACTATAGAATATATCTCCGTAAAAAATTTTAATAGTTTAGATAATTATTACAAAGTCTAATAAAGTGAAAACAAGACTGCCGAATTTGTTAAAAAAAAAAAAAAAAAATTATTGAATTTTTATTTAAAAAAAAAAGTTAATATTTTTTTATTTTTTATTAAAATTATCAAATTTTTATTTAAAAAAAAGTTAACCTTTTTTTATTTTTATTAAAATTATTATTATAATTCTTTGAGCTTTTGCAGCAAACTATCGAGTTCTGTATCTTCATTACTACCAATAATAATAATATTATTATTGTCATCTTCATTTGTTTTGATATATTTTCTTGAACTTGGATGTCTTCTACGCTTTTCTTTTTTTGCTTTCTCTTCTTTTTTTTGTCCTTTTCTTTTTGCGTTTCCGTTAGACGTTCCAGTAAATGATCCACATTTACTTGTATTCTATTCTTCAAGAATTCGAGACAAGACAGACATTTTTGACCAATTTCTTCTAAGCATTCTATGTAATATTTATAGCCACAAGCTAATATTTTTAAATTAGGGGATAATAAGTTAGTATATATATGCATATCAGCTTTAGTATATAACAAACAATCGTACAAACCAGATTGATTAGGTTTTCGTGAAGTGCTAAAACCTAGAGGAAGGTGTTAAGCATTTGCAACAATGCCAATAGCTAGTATTGATATATTAGTATCATTTACAAGTTTTTTTTTCTTTTTTCTCTCTAACAATATTGCAGGCTTATTCAAATTTAGATCCATTACAGCATCTGTAGTAATTCGATTATAAATATTAGGGCTCTGACATTTATTACCTAATATTTATTTACTATAGAGCTCTAACCCCCACCCCCAAATAAGATTTTTGATTAGCCAATCAAATTTTTGTATTATATAGAGGTAAGGTTTGGCTTTACCCCTACCCTCTAAAATATTACCTAATAAATGTCAGCACCCTTAATAAAATGTTCTAATAAAAAACATGCTGCCTTTTGTATGCAGCCATCCAAATCTCTGTGATTTAAAGGATATCTTTTTCAAGTTGATTGGTGATCAAATAATTTATTAAAATGCTTTTTATGTCTTAAAAAATTAATAAAATGTGCTTGATTTCGTAAGAGTTTTGCAGTATCATACTTCTGGGTAGTTCATTTCAAAATGCTGTGAAATAATTCAATAGGGCATCAGAAAATTTTGGTAAACGCATTTTTAAAAATTCTAAAATGGGATAATTAATATTTCTTCAATATAAAATATCTAACAAGAATATTAGTGGTGCTTTATTATAATTATGATGTGCAAACCATAAAAAAAGTACCCATACTTGTATTACAGATTCCTCATATTCTTGCTACTCACCTGCACGAAAAAAAATTGTGTATATATCGAGAACAAGTGAAATCAAATTATCTAATAAGTCTTTTAATATTAGATATTCAAGATCCTCACATAGATTAAAATTTTTTTTAATAGTATTTGAAACTCAAAGCCAACCACGACGAGTCATCTCAAGAAGCAAATTAATTTGCCAAGATTGAATATTAATTCTGAGCTCTTTTGTTTGATCAAATAAATAATTGTGTCGTGAAGAAAAAAATAGATGGTACTGTATATAAATGAGCTTGCAACTATTTAGAAATATATGCAATGGTTCGATTATTGAAATAAATAATAATACGTCTTGAGGAATATTAGACTTATCACCATAAGTCAAAAATTGAGAAATCGTGCTTTTAACAAAATTTTGACTAGGCCAATCAGCAATAAGAGGTAGGATATAACCAGAATTGAAATACCTTCACATTGTATTCACATTTCTAATAACAGTAAAACTCTCCAAGTACTCATTAGTATTATGTAAATTATTTTTACAAGGTCAACAAGCACGATATCATTTAATGATCTATTATTCATTTTCTCCTTAAGCTAAAGGTCATAACTATGAACTGTTAACACCTCCATAGTTTCCTCTATGTTTTCACTTATATTATTATTCCATTGTTTATTAAAAGTTACTTCCAATAATGCTATAAATCGGTATTCTAAATCAACTTTTAGAGAATTCGCATCTACGAGCTTGGGATTATGAATACTTTGGCTATTATAATTTATAGAAATTGGTAATGTTGTTCTTATTAGATTTAACGGAATTGTTGTTATATTAACTGCTATTGATGTTTCATTATTTTTTGGAACATGGTTCATATGTATATTATGGTAATCGTCCATATTTAAAATTATAGTATTTTTCTGATAATTCTCCAATTGGCTATTTATGGATTGTATATGATTCTTAGAAATTTTATTTTTCTTATGCCAAACTATTTGTGCCGTTAATGTAATGCTAAGTTCTGCTAAAGCATTGATTGTTAAATTACTTGTATCTGTAGAATCAAGATAAAGTGCTAAATCACTTTTTATATTAATAATAAATTTGTTATACAGACCACAAAGCAAAAAAAACAAACGAAAAGCAATTGAGACAATATTTTGGGATGTGATTCTTCTTTTTTCTGTAATAGATTTACTGATAATATAAGTTCTTTGAAAAAAACTGATAAATTTTTATTTTCTGATTCCATATAAGCACGAAATTCTTTGAATATTTGAAATGCTGTCAATTTTTTTGTTACTTTGCACTTATATAGAATATCAGTCATAATTTTTATTGCTATTGAAAAGAATATAATCTCTGGATCTAACGTATTAGCCTCTAGATCTAAAGTATTAGCATTGAGTTGTTGAATATTAGAAGTTGCTTTTGCATGCTCCTTTATCACAACTGATGACTGCATTAAGCCATTATAGTAATGTTGGCATACTTCTTGACCGACTTGCAAATAAGCTAGTAGGGTACTATTGTCTCGAGCACTTTCCCAGACCCAGTTAGTTATGGTTTTTATACATTGACCAGGAACTTTAGAACATATGGTTATTGCGTATTGCCATTCTTCTATGTTGAAATTAGCTCTAAGTAAAGCATATCTAAATGTTGGGATTATTTGAGATTATTTTGTATAAAGCCTTTGCAAATATTTTAAATAATTTTTAATAGTTATTTTATGATGTTATAGTATAAAAATTTTTAGATCTCGAAAAGTACTTTAAACTGTATAAATTCAATTGAATAAAATTGACCAATCAGAAGAAAGTTATCCTATATTAAATATATAGTCTATAAAAAATCCAAGGTAATACTCTAACTGTACATGATCTCTGATTTCATATTTTAATTTGTGCTATCATTGCAAAGGTCATCATTGCATTAACCATAGCTGTCACAACAAATTTGAACTGGCAGATCCTTGATTTTGATTGGCTAATAGCCGAGGATCTTCAAAATTTTGGCCCACATTACAAAGTTGGTTTCTAATTTCCAGCCAGAATTAACTTTTTAATTTTTTATTACAAAAATAGAAATTCTTAAAAAATAAGCCCATATTATAGTAAAATTGGCTTAGGAACAATTTTCATTTAATAGACGGCTATGATTTAATTAGTAAAATTATGAGTAATTCTAGCATAATCTTTTTATCATTGCTCTTAGCTAATCAAAATCGAGGATCTGCTGGTCCAAATTTGTTGTGGCAGCTATGGTTAATCATCATTGCTGTACTGTGCTGTATAGGTCTTTACAATTTTTTGTAATACTTGATGTCCTGTTATTTTTGTTCATTAAATTTTGCAATGGTTTTGAAGTATATAAAGAAGAATGTTGTGAAGAATTAATCTAAATAAATAAAAAGAATTAAGTAGTAATCCATATAAGATCAGCAATATTATCATAATAAAATCTGGAACAAATCTTTTATAAGTTTTATAATAGAGTGAAATCTGTAGCTGCCTCAAAGTAAAGTTATTTTTTTACTAAGTTAACCTTTCTTCAAGTTCTAACAAAAGCTGTAGAGCTCATTTTTGTGCTTCTAATGATAGTACAGTCAGGGATTTTTCAAAGTTGTGTAATGCAAATCATTTCGTTTTTTGGTAAAGATCTGCAATTTTGTGGTACAAATTTTGACCAAATTTTGGCCAAATTATTGACTAC